ATCCATCAAGTGAAGGGATGTTATGCCTGCTCCTGAAGGTGAGGGTAACTGAGGTTCTTGTTAATAGATGCCTTGGGGCAGATTASAGTGAAATTACACTGAATGACCATTGTTTATATATATATATAAATATATATATACACACATATACATATATATGGCAGGTCTATTGTAGAACAATTTGGTTGCAATGGAAAGGAGGTAAGAAACCATTTTGGTTATTATCTATAGAAACAAAACCATATAAAATTATTAAAAAATCACTTAAGAAAATATGTAAGGAAAAAAAAAGGAATAGAAAAAAAGGATAAGAGTAGATAGCAGAAAGATATCACCACCCATGGATGCAGTGACAAGATTTGATTGTTGCAATTTCACTTAGTCAAAGTGATGGTCACAGCCTTGATCCATCAGGGGCAGGGAATCCCACAAAGCAAAGTTCARTGGGTTAAATATATTCAGGTTCTGGTGGGAACATCCAAGTACCTCCCTTGAGGGGGAATTTTATACTGTCTATTCCAACACTCTGGATCTGTGCAGTGGTCTAGGAAGGCCCCAGAAATGAGTCTGGGGGTGCTCTGGAGTCTTAGACAGGTTATGAAACCTTCTAAGCCCTGACAGCTGCCTCTCACACCAGCGTAGCTGAGCCAGTTCTGTCCCACAGGAGGGGATGAACACCTTCAGGTCCAGATGTGAAAATGAGTGTCCTGATACCTTCCCTGCATGGGGAGTTTTGCACCTGAGCCAGTTGTGTAAGGGAGGACATTGGCATGATAAAAAAGCATTATCCAACCTCAGCAGGACCTGCTTCTCATTGGSCTTTTCCCTCATCTGGCTCAAACCCAGCTTGTKGCTAAACAAAGGTCAGTTTGTCATGGCCATCCTCTGCTGGTGGGTGCTCACCCTCTCTGCACCTGGGCTGTTCTTACACAGACCAGAGGTTTCCCACCAAATATCCAAACCCTCTCCTCCTCCTCTTTGGCTGGGGGTGCAAACCTGGCCTGAGCAAAGCCTCTGCAGCTTTTCCAAATGGCTGATTGTTTTGAGTCACTAGCCATCAACATTTCTTCCCTCACAAGGGAAGACCTTGTCACAGATGAGATAGAAAAGGCYGAAGTACTCAACGTTCCTTTTCCCAGTCTTTACAGGCAAAGCCTGCACCCAGACCTCTGCTTGTACCACTTGTGTTTGGGAAGGAGAGGGATAAGTAGGAGTGGGGCCAGCAACTGCTGAGAGATGCTGGAGGTACTCAAATGCACAAGGCCAGACAGGTGACACTCAAGGTTGCTAAGAGACACAGCTGACATGCTTGTCAGACTACTATTACCTATGAAAAACATTTATCATACAGTCTCCAACTGGCTGGGGAGAGACATGCTCATTTTTGAGACAAAAAGCAGCACTTACATTCAGTCAACACCATCTCAGTATCTGCAAAAATGCTCAGCAATTGTCCCCTTAGCTGTGTGAAAGCCTAAGAAAGTAACCAGGAAGATTTGACTCAAATTWACCAAGGGCAAATTAGGTTTGATAAATCTCAACAGCTACCGTGATGAAAGGTCTGGACACGCAGGTAAGGGGACAGAATGCAACACTCAAGTGTCCTGTGGCTCCTGGTACTACCCCTCATAGCAAGCACATGTTAGTAAGATGAGGCCAGATTAGATGGTTTGGAGTGGTTGCAAACCATCTGGGCAGACAGCACTGAAGACTTTGACGACTTCAAGTTGCTTCACTTGTTGCTAATAACAGTAAGGATACCCTGAGGTTGAATAAATTTGTCAGTAATGTGGATGATGAGACAGAAGGTGTCTTTGTTCATGGTAGGAGGGCTGGAACATTTTTTAGGTCCTTCCCAGGCCATTCTATGATCAGCAAACTTGTGGATGATACTAAAAGAATAGTAAAGCTCCACTTCAGAGGGAACTGAGAAACTGCAGGGCTGGAAAGCAGACACCTCATGACAACAGGCTATACCTGAGACTGCTTAATCCAGTGTGACCTACTGTCCTGCTCCAAGCGGGAACTCTGACTGGATGATGCTCCAAAGTGTATTCCAGCCAACAAATCTGAGATTTTAAATGTTCAAACAATATTCATGTTTAAAAGATCAAACACTGACTGTGCATTCCCTTTCCAGTGGTCAAGAAAGGGTTCTGGGTGAAGAATTTCATAAATTTTAATTAAGCCTGTTTGTTCACAGGTTTATTTAAAAGCACATTAATTCCTTATACCTCTGTGTAYCCTACATAATACATTTCTAAACAGTAAAGAAAGCGGAGGATGCTCATGCACTACAGTGGAAACATGGTGTGAAAACCMAACACTCAAACAACTATGACTGGGGAGAAAGATAAACTGACATGCACAACGTTCAAAGTTAGTTAGAACTACCCTTCAAGTATAGGAACAGGTTCATAGAGAGCCAAGAAATATTTCACATTCTTTGTAAATCTGCCTTTGTTTTTCCTAGAATGGATTAGGATAATTCTCTATCATGTATCATCACCTATCAAATTATATTATTTCCATGATGCAGTCCATTGCTTCTTYAAAGCATTAATATATTACATTCAAGTTATCTTTTCATGCATTTTTTTAAGGCATGTAATTTATTTTCAAAATGTTTTTCATTTTGAATCCCTTAAAATGGCACTGATCTAGCCTCTTTATAACTAATCAGGCCTATACACTCTAGCATTTCACTAACAGCTGCATTGGCTGGTCACTTAGTAACTTGTCCTGTTTGTRATATTGTATGGATGAAGGCAGAGCTTCCACAAATCAGGCTGCTCAGAAATGGAATACACTTACAGCCACTACTCAAACTGCCCACTTTCAAGCATAAGAAATACTTCCTGCAGCTTTTACTGTCCATAATTTTTAATAGTTTCTCAGCATTTAATTCTACAGTAGTTTTCAACTTTTAAAAACTGAGTTATTTTAAAGTCTTTGACCACCAGTGAACAAAATTACTTCAAAWTTTTTTTCCACAGCACCACAGAGTAGTTAAACTTAAGTGTTTAAACGAAACACTTAAGCACTTTCTACATTAAATGTGTAGAAGCTATTGATAACAAAAGTATTAACAATCTCAAAATATTTTAGGACAACAAAATACACATCTAATGAAGAAGTCACATTCCTCTACCTTGGCGTGTTGTCTGTAAACCCAGAGTGCTCAAAAATCACAGAGTCGCAAAGTCATGAGATCACTTTATGGTCGGGAGTCTTAAGTTCAATATCAATACACAATATTGCTAACAAAATAAATGTCAGCCTGATTTTATAGTCACAGCTGAAAGATCCTATCWATACACATCGCTTTAAGGCTGAGACTATACTAAATTAGAAATAACTCCTGAACAGTAGTTCAAGGTCCATTTATACTATCATCACTCTCCAATCATGAAAAACGCAATGAGTTGCAATTTTTACTCTGYAGCCAATAAATTCCAAAATGTCATTTTTTAATGAGTCCTCATTCTCCTCTACCACATACAGGCATGACTCACACCTTTACAAAACAGGAATAGGCTTCCCTCCACCTGTGGATCCCCAATCATCGCTGTAACTTTTTTCACTCATCCAACTCTTTGGCAATTCCCTGCCTTCCATGAAGTGCAGTGCTTCAGCCACCCAAGCTCACATCACATGGGATGTTTTCTCTCTATTCTCTGCTCACCCAAGCTGGTAGAGGAACAGCCACGCTAAATACCCTCTTTTCTTCACAGAATGGCTGAGGTTGGAGGACACCACAGCGAGTCTTGTGGTCCAACCTTCCTGCTCAGGCAGGATCATCTAAGATCATATAGCACAAGACTGCATCCGAATGATTCTAGACTATTTCCAGTGAGGGGAAACTCCACAAACTGGGCAATCTGTTCCAGTGCCTGGTCACTTGCATAGTAAAGAAATTCTTCCTCATATTCAGRTGRAACTTCCTGCATTCATTTCTGTCCATTTCCTCTTGTCCTAGTAATTGGTACCTGCAAGATGAGCCTGGCTCCATCCTCTTCACACCCACCCTTTAGATAATTACAAATTTTTATAAACTTCCTTTGCCCCATGGAAAGAAAAGAGCACTACTTTTCATGGCTCCTTCCTCTCATTTAAAACCAATGAACCATGCATTCTCCATCCCTCTGATCCACTGGCCCTGGATTAGTATCGCCTGATACATGTCTGCATCTCTTCTTCCCCCAATCCTACATCACTAGCTGAAGGGACAATTACTTTTAGTTCACGCGTGCCACACTTAAGTGCAAATTACTACGTAGGTTAATGCAAGAGAGTGTAGAGGGGAGCAGCAAGGGTACTTATGCAAGCAGCAAAGGAAGTATTTTTTCAAAAGCTTTCTCTCGGTAAGACACTCTTCTAGACAAACAGTCTCTCCTGCAAAAATAATCTCAGAAAACAAAGCTTTTTTCCTTTTCCCAGGACTGAGGCCGAAGCTTTTCCTCTTTTCCCAGAACTAAAGCGAACACGGTGAGCACTGGGGGGCGCGGACAGGATGGCAGCCCGTGCCCGGCTGAGGCGGAGCGGCACTGAGGAGGACAAGGAAATCCCGGCCAAGCGGCAGGAGAGAGAGGAGAGCAGTGAGCAGGGGAAAGATAAGGACAAGGGCAAGGTCGCGGTGGTGCCCGGCCTTTCCCCCGCAAGCCCTGCGGATMGCCGGGAGGKCACGRCTGGCAGCGGCAGCGCCATCGGCCGCAGAGGGCGGCCCGGCCACCGCTTCCGACCGGCGTGCGGGACCCCCGCCATGAGGAAGGGGCCAGCCGGGAGGATCGAGCGCGCTGACCCTCAGCCCGCCGCCCCTCACCCTCCTGTCCCCTCCACACCACCCCATCCGACCCTCCCTGGTGCCCCGCGATCCGCAGCCCGTTCCCCTCCGCCCCTACCCGCCGCCGCATCGCGTAACCGGGAGCCCCGCCCGCCTGCCCCCTCAGGCACCGCCTCTTCCCGTCCGCCCCGGCCCGGCTCCGCCGCTTCCCGGCGCCATGGCTGTGTTCCACGATGAGGTGGAGATCGAGGACTTCGAATACGATGAGGAGACCGGGACCTACAGCTATCCGTGCCCCTGCGGGGACCGATTCCTCATCACGCGGGTGAGGGGCGGCCGGGCAGGGCTGGGGAAGGAACGGGGTGGTGCTGCCCGTGGGCCGGGCAGGCGGCGGGGCCTTGACCGCTCTCCCGGCGCTTTTGCAGGAGGACCTGGAGAACGGGGAGGACGTGGCCACCTGCCCCAGCTGTTCCCTGATCCTGCGGGTCATTTACGACCAGGTGGGTGCGGGGGGAGGGCAGGCGAACGCGGTTCCAGCCGGGTCCCTCTGAGGCCCAGTTCGCCGCCCCATGCGGGAAGCGCGGGGAAGCGTTTAAAAATCCCTGATTTGGAACTGCATGTCTTGAGCTCTAGTTTTTCTGGTTTCCTCCTGCCGTGTTTGGGCTTTGAAATAYGCCTGCCTGGGTGGGCGTGGGGTAGGACAGAGACGGGACAAAATGAGTGATGCGAAGAGCTCCTGTCACTGATTCCAGCAGCCTGGCAGCAGCCGGGAAGCCATCTCACCTTCTAGGCACGTCATGGCTTTCGCGTTTTGGGAAACAGATTCACATCAATTACAGCCATTGTGTTTTTCATCCTGGGTGTATCTGTTTGGATTTTTTTTTTTTTTTTTTTTTTTTTTTGAGGGAGAGGAGATCCAAATATAATGTAACTCGACTAAATCCATGCTTGCTGTCTTTAGGAGCAGTTCATGCGTGATGAAGTTGTGGCAGAACCTTTGCCAAACAAGGAGTTGGTCAAGTGCTGATGAGTGTATCGTGGACTGTGCTGCTTTGGGATGAGAAAGTATGGGGATGGTGACTGCGGAAAGAGATGTRGTTCTTCTCCTGRAAGTGYTTGCTGCTCTGAGATACAAGTGCAATAACAGTCTGCCTTCTTAACGTGAATGGGAATTCGTTGGGACATCAAACACATGAATGGGTTTTGTTCCAAAGAGTTATAAAAATAYAGATAARTTGCTCTGTGTATTCTGGAAGATTTAAGAATTATGGTTCTGTTTTACAGCAAATCATACACAGAAGAACAGTGTKGAGTTGGGAAATTAYAATATTTAGKCTAGCAATGACTTCTTAGCCTGTGGAGAAAAWTGGGCTTTKTGTGAGTATATWCCAGTGTGAGATGGCACAGAGAGCTGAAATGTTGGGAGGCAACATTTAGGAGTCCATAGGACACRAWGCCATACAGAGTTRACACAGTGCAGCATCTCCCAGSGATGTGGGCTTGTGTACTTCAGCCCATACTGAATACGGGGAGAAGACAAGAGACCCAGTGCCAACATTTACCCGGTGTTGGTAAATTGCCTTTACTACTGTAAGCACGAGGAAGGTGCAGTTGTCTGTATATCTGCAGTGGGGGCAATACTTAAGTTGAGTTTCTTAAATTGCTTCTGAAGTATCTTTGAAAGAGCTTTGGTTGTTACCACATGACTYTGACATAAAAGTGATACTCTTGTGGGTATTGTGTGTAATGAAACAAAAGGAGTCAAACTTCTTTTACCCCTGCACAGCTARTAATGTGTAAATGGACTTGATCTCAAAGTCTGTTGTATTTTACCCCTATTTTCTCAACAGCTTTGTGATTTGRCTGTTGCAGCAGCTGTAAAACAGGCTGCAGTTCTCTGTGCCATTTGTAGTAGTACATTGCTGATTCTCTCAGCCTTCCTTTATTAGATGCACCTGCTTCCTGAATGGGAGATGCACACATTTAACTTAAATAATAAAGGCATATTTTAGGGTAGAAGAAAGTTGTGAGAACATATTCCACATTCATTCGAAGACTGCTTCTTGAGTTACAAGCCACTGCATTTTAATATTTGCTAAAAACTGTGGTCATTCCTGTGTTTTAATAGGATTTGATATCTATGAAGTGAAATTTGGGGAAAAGTACTTGTGAAAAGTTTATATTGCTATTTTGCTCCAGGCACTAAAGATCAGCAGGTTTTACTGGATTCTTGTGTGTGGCTGRTTTTGTTCTTACAGCGTTCTGAGAATGTTGAAGATGAACATTCTAGTTATTTTAAGAAAAGGAGAGGAAAAAAAAAAGAAAAACTACACCTAGTTGGAAGTTTTGAGTGCAGTAAGCACAACCCAGAGTGTTTCCATGCCTAAACCAGGAGGTGGCACTCGTGTTCCTTTCTTATCTGTGCTAAAAAAAATAGCTGTGGTACTTTGGTTAGCTATGCCTAATCAAATATTTATTTTGACTATTTAAATAAAGATGTTTACAATTCTACCAGTGGTTATAATGGTCTRTTGCTTACTCTGTTTCTGCACCAGCCACAATGATTTCCAGAGGTCTTGAGTTGTTGCTGCTGGGGTGATGATACTGGAAGTTCTTCAGGCTGGTTAATAAAAATTATTTCAGTCAAGCAGTAGATGCTGTAAAGCGAATTTACAGGAACCCTACCTAAGCCCCTGTTCAAATTTCTCCTGCATGTTTATCTACATGATTTTTCCACAAGTATTCTACATAAGAAGGATTACAGCAATTTTCAAGTGCAATACCAGGGAATGTATGCTCTGATGTAATGCATCAAAGTAAGTTGCCAGGTGTGTCATCTCTAAAGGTGTATAGATTTTGCAGAAATCATTGATCAGATTTTGTTACATAGTGAAGGTCAGGCCCTGTCATAAAAAACTAGGAAACTTATGTAGAGAATTATTTGTACTCTATATGGTTAAATTTGTACATGATTTTAAAAGGTGTTTATCAGTTGCATTTTACTTGGCAYGTTCCAAGTAAGCATGGCATGTAACAAGTTTTTAATTGATTTTTTTTAGTGTTTCCCACTCGTTGAAATACAGGTAATGGCATTTTTAAAAGTAATTTCAACAAAATTAGTTCGTTACATCAGTTGGACTGTCGGTGCTTAAAGTTTGTTACATAGTGAGAATAAGGTCCAAGTTGTAGAATGCAATTTACATGCACAGTAAAATTACTTGATCTCACAGTGTATATATCAAAGCTTTAATGAAGTATGCATCATGTTTGATTTTCTGGAAGTGTTTTTACAACATAACAACAGTAAGGTGGTGTGGCTGACTGTTGGAAAAGGAGGTGGCCTCATTTGCTCACATAAATTACTTTCAGCTCTTGTCTCATTGCAGGGTCTCTAGGGTCTCAAGACAGTAGTTGCTGTCCTCCCAACAAAGAGGCAAAACAGGGAAGGATGTAAAATTTCTCTCTTTTTTGTTGCCCTTTGAGAATCTGAGAGAGACATTTAAAACTGTTGAGCTGTTCTTTTGTTTTCCCTTCTGCTTTGTAGGGAGGGATTCTGCAACAAGAGCTCATCCTTCATAAAAGCTCAATGATGATAAAGCCAAAGAGCTGCCCACTTTTGTCTTTTGTTAACTTGTAAGAAGCTTTTGACTCCAGTGATTGCAGTCATCTTTTAAAAATACTCTTTCATACTGTAATTCCAGAACAGCAGCTAGGGCAGTCTGAGTAACCCATCAGAAATGTCCCTTGTCAGGAATTCAGTCACAAGGTTTCCTCACAGCGCCACAGGCTCTGGCCCTTCATGGCATTGCTTGCATATTACGTGCTCTCACAAACCAGTAGCTCACTTTTTTTTTTCTCAAAAGGCAATTGTGTAGAACAGAAAGAAGTCTTTTGTTTGCTGCTTGTGTCTGACAAACAGATTGATTGATTATGTGTTTGATAAGGTCCTTGGGTCTGTCAGAGGAGTCCAATGTGGTGAAAGTGGCACCATGTGAAAGTTAATGGAGTAATTCATCCATGGTGGAAATTATAGAGGGTGAAACAATTTATGATCAGTTTCACATATTCAAGCTCTGAAATTTTTCATGCTGCTGAGCAGCTCTGAACTCCTGTGTAACACTGAAAACAAGCAATACTCTCTGTGGCCACAATTTTATGGGAAGAAYGGAAGATAATTTGTTCTTCATTAAACTAAAGAGCTTAGCCTCCCTGATCTAGCAGATTCTTGTTTGCATTTCAAAGAAACTCGCTGAGAAGGTCATGTACTTTTGGCTCATTGTGCCTGTGTATCAGTGGTGTWCATGATTAGTTTTGAATAGTTGCTCTAGAAGTCTGTGACACAGACCCTGGGCCTCCAAGAGCTGAGGTCATTAGGCCACTAATTTTGCTGTTGCACTTATTTCATTATCTATATATTGGGGAACTTGTAGTGCCCCAAAGGAGTGTTATAAGTACCTTGACATTTCTTCTCTCCATCACAACTATGTATTGTCATGAAGACAAGCAGTTTCTGCCTGTTCCATTTCCATCTCTATTCCAATTAACACTCAGGTCATGCTAACTGTAGGGATAGGTATTTGTTACACTGAAAACTTCTTGCAGTGTTTTTAAAAATAGGATTTGTCAAGATATTTAGTGCAGTAATTGAAGTTTGCSATGGATTTTCTCCTACCAGTTCAATGTGGATTGCTTTGATTCTACTTCATGATAACATAAAATGCTAATTTCTTAATGTCTCTCCATAGTAGCCATGGCATGAAGGAGACAGAGAGGATCCAGAGGATCCTGTGAAGATGCTKGGCTCATCAGCCCTGAAACTGGTCAAACCTGTTGAGTGACAGAGGCAACACTTGACAGAAGCTGTGCCAGGAGGGAAAACAGCTGTCACAGTATCATCTTTGGTCAGGGAGGAAATGGATCAAAAGGGACTAAACAAAAGGGTAAAACCTTAAGTGACACATCATCACTCCTTCCCAGCCCTTGCTGTGGGCATTGTGGTCTGTTTGCACACCAGGTCACGTCTCCAAAATTCTTGGCAGCTCAACAGTCCATCACAGGCTTCCTGTCAAGTGGAAAGTCATGGCCGTGCCATTGRCTGTGTCAGTGACTGCAGCCAGTAAAGAGAGCTCTGAAGGCACCGTGACGTGTGAAGGTCAGAGCAGAGCTGCCTCATCCTGTGGTGGTCATTTCTTATTTTTATGTCAAAACTAAGATCTTTATCTTGTTGCTGAATGCTGAAGCTGTTGCTTTGGGGAAGGATCCAACTGTCATAAAACTCWGGGTAAAATCAGCAGGAGCTGGCAATAAGTCACTCCTTTTGTGACCTTTTCCTGCTCCATRGCAAATGGTTTTATTTTGGTCTCAGTTGTCCTTCTGGACAAGTCAGAGGTCAACCTTTTGACACCTTCAGTACTTAAAGTGAAAGATTTCCATGCACCAGAGCACTATAAACAGCTGCAACATTCCAAGCATGATCTTTGTGTATATAGATTTGTGATGTTTACACAAAATACAAATTTCTGATATATTTTTAGTAACAATGACTATTTCACACTGCCTAGGAAAAATACACAATTTTCTAGGGAGGTTTTTTTTTAAATGTTTATTTTCCAAATATATTGAAAAAAATACGGTTTAACAGATTTTATTTCTGCATGTCGTTGATCATAGGCCTGTTGTTGATCCTTTCCATGAAAATTATGTACCTATGCAATGCAATACCATCTTAATGTATTTACTTTTAGACAATAGCAAGACTAAAACATGAATTTATCATTTTTATTACTCTCTAACAGAGGTTAGAACTAATTTTGTAGCTTGTGACAGATTTTGTAACTGATGTTAATTTAATTACAAAAAAACAAGTAGATAAAATATGAGCCCTTCCTTATCCTTCTTTTTCACTTATTATGGTAGAACACATTTGACTTCTTCTATTTTGCCAAGGCTTCTTATATTTTGCAGTGACCCCCAGCACAATGCACTGTTGTTCCTGCATTGATRGATTCTAGAGTACATCCCTTAGCTTGAACCAGACTTAGGAGAACCAGACTTTGATTTGAGATATGTAAACAGCCCGGAGGCAGAGATCCAGGCAAACCACCTGTCAGTCTCACAGTCTCTCTCTTGCAGAACTGCTCAAGGGGGTAATTTCGGAGCCAGTAAGGAAAGCTTCTGTCCTGGAGGCTGAGCTGTGCTGTGGCAGCAAAATAGATAAGTGCATCAGAGCAGGAGTGACTGCCAGGACAAACCAAGGGTCTCCTTGGTCCCATCCCATCCCCAGCACTGCCCAGCAGCTACTGAAAAGTCCATGACCAGGGCAAACATTTGGGGATAATTCCTTCACACAATTTGAAAGTCATGGACTTTTTGAGACTGACACATTTGTGTTAAATAGCATAAACAATATATGTACTTCCATGAGTTTGTCTAATCACTTTTTGARTCCACATCACAACTTAAAATCCATTGCATCCCATGGAAAAGAATTGCCCAAGTGGGCTTTACAATGAGACATATCTCTTTGTTTGTTTTGAACCCATTGCCCTGGGGTTTATTTAAAGACACCTTTTGGATAGGAAGAGAMTGTTTTCTGCTCTTTGCTCTCTAGCCTACTGAGGACTGTTTCGATTTTTTTTCTTATTTTTTGCACTGTTTTTGAAAGGGAAGTAGGAACTGTGCACTGTTCTAGACACAGGTGTGTATCATGCATACATTTGCATAGCAATATTTGCTCTCTATTTTCCAAAAATTCTTGACGTATGATGTTCTTTTTAGACACTTGATGAGCACTAGGCTGACATTATCTTAGAATTTACATTTAATTAAGGAAATAACTTTTGAGGATCTAAGCCTTAGAATAACTTTGTATTTCTCCTCCTGTCTCTTGCTCAGGGCCTAGGTGGTTTTTAGAAGACAAGGTGTTATGGGTTCATGTAGTTTTCTGCTAGTCCCTCCCACAACCTCCTAACAGCAGTGTGCAAGTGTGTAAGCTCCATGCRTTTCAGTAGGACTGTCCAAGACTTAATGTCTTGGTTTATCTTTACTTCTCCCATCATTTAGCTGGCTTTTATTTGTTTAGTTTTTGTAATGTGTTACTTCCCTTCCATGTTCATTTTAATTATCCCTGTTGCACTTCTTACTGGACTTCATCTCTTCCTTGAAAGCTGCATTTATGTGCCTCTTGTATTTCCTTGTCTTTGCTGCAGTGGCTTTCCTGATGGGTATCTGAGTTTTCTGGGCAGTGAAGCCTTTTATTAGAGTTGGTGCTGTGTTTCAATGTGAGATTTCTTTTAGTTTTGAATACYTGTATTTATTTTCCTAAAAGAAGTGGGGATACTGCCCAAGATGCAYATAAAAATAGTGTGCTTTTTGAAAGGACCAAGAATGTTTTCTTTCATTCAAATCTACTATTTCCTTGTAACTTCGTTTTCTAGTACTGGCCCTAAGTGTGGAARTCTTAGCCTGAATAAATAATGAATGATAAATGTTATAGACGGAAAGATTCTTGCTTTTCCTTGTGAAGAAGGGGTTAATTATAACTCGCAGTCTCTCCTATTGCAGAACTACTCAAGATGAAGCTATTTCTTGGAAGAATACCCTTAGGAAGTTAGTGACCTAGAATGAGCTTGGCATAGAATTGCCTTTTAGCCTTAACTGTGATATTTGCTGCTGCAATCTCCTAGACAAATGGGTTTTGACAGGCTTTGCAAACAGCCTGAGGTCAGAGCCTACGAGCTTTCCTTGGGCAAGTAAAAGCTGTAGAGTCGGGAATTTAATACATTTTTTGAGACAAACATCAACATTTCCCAGACCTGGGGAGGGTGCACCATGGGACAGTGACAGGCAAATGCAACCCCTCATGGGACTGTGAAAAGGACATGGCATGCAGCAAAACGTGGTCCCTGCCAGGGATGGTTCATGAAGTTCAAGCTCTGCTTTGAACTGGAATGAAGATTGTATTTTTAATATGCCTTGACATAAGGCCCA